CCATAACCTTTAGCTGTTAACTTAGATGGCCCCTCACTTTTTGTTTTTCTCAGCTTGTCTCGATTTTGCTTTTTATGCAGTGTTGCTATTCGCATTTTGCTATCGATTGTTCTTGTCGGACCCAATTTTCCTTTTCGTACTGATATTTTCACCTTCCATTTCAGGTTCCTCTCTTCCTTGGTGTTAGGTTTAGGAGTACGCTTCAGAATGACGGCATTAATTACACGCCTATTTCCGTTTCTTTTATCTACTTTGGTCCGACTTTGGCTTTCCCGAAGCGTGTTACCTTTGAATTGCTTGATGGCCAATCTCGATGTTTCCATGAGGCATTATCACCTAAAAAGTACGTCTTCATGTACCAGGTGATTTACGGTGGACAAGCGGATGTGGATATCTCCGTGAAGGATTCGCGCAAGAGGGTGATTTCACAGGCTGAACGTGCCACTCACGATGAGGTCGTGTTCGCTCTAGACCATAACGATACATACTCATTTTGTTTTGATAATTCCTTCTCACCGATGTCTCACAAGTTGATCTATTTTGAGCTCCGACCGGAGAGCTTTGAATCTTTGGCCGAAGAGGCTGGTGGTATGCATCCCCTCGCACCGCTTACTTTCATCGAAAACGAAGTGGAATTGGTTCACTTGTTCCTGTCTCGAGCTGAGTCATTGCAAGTTGAACTGAAGAACCGCGAACTCGGTGATCGCTTAGTTGCCGAGGAGTTGAATACGGCAGTTCTCATGTGGAGCAGTGTCGTCACCGTAGTGATTGTTGTGACCACGTTGGGGCAGGTGGCAATATTAAAAAACTTTTTCAGTGATAAAAAGTCGTTTCCTCACCGCATGCCTCATTCCTAGCCGAATACCTTGATGGAGCTGCGTGAAGCGACAATGCCACTCATTAGTCCTGTGATAGCAGCAATTTCCGTGCCGCTTGGTTTTTCTTGTTCTCTGCTCCACGATCACTACCCACTACAGATTGCCGATCGCCGCCTCACGTCACCCTTGTCATGTTCCATGTCCTAACTCCACGCTGTACGGGCTCTTTTTTACATTTTCTCTCGTTCATAGTTTGTAAACGCACATTTGAATACTGTATTGCATTGTTCTTGTTTGAAGCCGAATGAGAGAATTTACACGTATTCACCTGTATGCATTTGATGTCTCCTCGTTATTTTGCCGTACCGTTCTTCTAAACCCCTACGTGCGCTGCTCTCTACCGATTCTTGTTTAGAATCGATTCGAAGAACTCACTAACTTCCATACTAGTAAGTTGCTGGTCACACATACCGTGGAATTGCTCTGACTCTTCTCGTCATAGAGGCCAACCGAAGTCGTCTAGTTTTGCGCTTATACAAGACTAACTGATCACTAGATTGGGAGATTGCCAGTTTACTCCTCCAATATTCATATGGAAACCTGTTTTATCCGCTTCTGGGTTTGAATCGTTTATTTTTCATTTGAGCGAGTACTTGCTGACAAGCTTACTTCGTAGTAATGATGGTATCTTGGAGTCACCACCATCATCACTGAACTGAGCTTTCGAAATGCTACTTGTTCACTGTCTTGCTGTCCGATCTCAAGAACAAAGGGAGACTGTAAACGGAACGTTTGTTAACCTGGTGAACCGACTCATGCTATCACATCTGTTACTCATTGAACGATAACATCGATCTTGATTGTCTGCTCTTCCGGGTAAATCAACCAACTTGCAACTGGTTGTTACGAAATATCGCGAAACCGGTTAGCTTCATGGTAGTACTTTGCTTTAGTTTACTTTGTCATGCGAAAGAGCCAGCCTCCGTTGCCCACCCTAAAAAATCTTTTCGATGATATACAATTCTCCTTGCATTGATAGGTCACTGCACAAGCCATCACACTGATCGGAACCGAGTTCTCATCAGCCCTTCGCACGACTTTACATGTTGGTCTCGTAGTATCAACCTAGGCTTGTACCTCGCTTTCTTTCATGGCTACACATACTTATTGCTGGACTGAATGGTGATTAGCCTCTGGCTTGTGCACAGTAGACGGTTCTCACGACGGGATTAGATGCTATGCTCTGGACTGTGCATCAGTTTTCACATACATTGTCGGTGATCGTTATGTACATATGTATCCTTAGCGACTACACAACTATATTTCCTCGGAACCAACACTTTTCAAATTTTTGTTTTCCTTGTTGTTACCATTCGATCTGCTTTGTCTCGTTTTCTGCTATTCTCTTTTTTGTTCACCCCTCCAAGGAACTCTGTTCCAATTAGGCACTGTGCAGTGGCCAACAAGCGTGCACTACTAAACAGCATTCTCATCTTTGTTACAATTTTACACTGCCTTCGTTTTCCATGTTCTTTTCGGCCTCCCTCTCGCAAACTCCCAGTAGTCGTGCGTCGTTCCTTGATAACAGCTGTTTAGTGACCAGATTTCAACCTAGCTTAATCGTCACATAATCAGACAGAGCCGTGATGAGGCGGGAGCTACAGACGTCGGCGGGGTAAACGAGGTGATCATCTTTCATTTTCCAGTTTAGAGTACCGACTACGTGTCCAGATTACGAAATCGACACTTTTTTGCCTGGGACATAGTTCCGGTGATCATAGTGGCTAGAGTCTCCTTCAGAGTAAACCGTTATTGAAATTGGGATTGCCCATCGTACTGGAAACAGCGTAGGCTCCTGGAACTGGCTGGATCTGTATAGTCTGTGCATGACTGCTCCTTGTCTTGGTGGAAGACCAAGACTGACGTTACATCCGCTGTTGTAACCAGCGCTATAGCTTTTTACGAGTGTCCTCTAACCTCTTACTGTAAATCCTCTCGCATGAAAGGGAAAATCTTAGTACCGAACTTCCCAATATTCCCGGAATAGGTTATGGAGTTAACACTTTCTTTCTCCCCCTATCGCACAATCAATGGGGGTGTCATGCACATAGTAAGTGCCACTACCTTACGCATGTAACTTAAGCTTGAACTCTTTCACTGTCTGTGTCCGATAAACTACGTTTCCATGCAACATCAACTAAACTAACAAGAATGTACCCGACCTTACTTTTCCGTAGACAGCCATTGTTGTTATTACATATCGAATCTGCAGTCACTATTTATCGACATAGTTTATAGTTGAGAGATGTGCCGGGCTTTCCAATCGCCAGTAGGTGCGTATTTCCCAGTAAGGATTCATATGTTAATGCCAGCTGCCTATCCGAGTGACTTTGCGTTATGCAAGAGAGATTAGTGCAGTCGACGCCTACGGGTGTTAATGTTATGGCTGATTCATCGACAGCTATCGCAGAATTTCGCCCAATTCTCTCTTCAAATCTGAAGAAAGCCGCCCTTACAACAACCTTTATTGACGTCCTGTGAGTACTGGTGGTCAAAATGGTTCTGAATTCATAATTAACCCAGTTATATTAACGAAGGCCTTTGACACTAAAAATTCTGGAATCAGCCCAAACTCTTATTGGCTATCCCTGGCCACTTCAATTCAAGCTGCATTAATCCAACCCCGTGAATCAAGTCTTTGGCGATTTCTGTGAACATGGTCAGCCGTCAACTTGTTAACCGATTTTCAGGAATCCTTTATTCCCAGGTCGCCATGTAAAAATGAAGTTGGGTTGAGTGGTCTACAGTTTCATAGCGAGTGCTAGAAATGAGCGGCAATTGTGCATGAGGATTCTGCACCCACGCCAATGCCTCTTATATCAAACACGTACTGCTACTGAAGCCGAATTGCCTCTTGTCTTTCAATCTGCACTTTTATTCGATCACTCCCATTGTCTTTCCTGTACTGTCGACCACAGCTCGTGATGCCATCGTCCGACCACTTTAGGATGCGCGCATCCAACGACTTTCTTCTGTTCATTGTGCGTTTTTCATTGCTGACAGAATCATCAAACCTGTAATCATTACTGCTACGTCGTTCTGTTCTCCTACTGCACTCCTCATTGTTTACGCATCTCCATCACACGCCAACCCCATCTTTACCAATAATTCCTTTGAATCTACCCCTGATGACAGCCTCGCCCGTGTCCAAATAGTCCGGCCAGTGGCCCTCCTTCGATCTCGATCTCCATTTCAATTGGAAGCCTTCAACATTGGAACCCTTATGCAGATCGGACAACAATCCGGCCTAGCACACCTCCTGGAGTCCCTCGCTATTGATATATGTTATCTTTCTGATACTCGGTTACCGGACTACAATGCCATACTTAAGTTGACCTTCTCTGTTCTTTGGACCAAATATTCCTTGCATTTGTCTGATGACACAAAAACTGTTGCAGCTGGATTAGATGGCGTTGGCATCGCATTGAGTGACTAAGCTGAGGCCTCGCTGCTGTATTGATTCCTGACTGGCTGCCAATTGTGTGCGGTTCGACTTCACTGCCCATGTAGGACCAATAGGCGTCGTACATGGAGACCCGGTTTGTTTGTAGTTTCCGCCTACGCTCCAACCGACTACATTTGTGCATCGGTTAAGGACGACTTATGGCGGGCTCCACCAACTTTTGAGTAAAGTCGAATTATTCGATGTCATTGACCTTACGAGAGACTTCAATGCACGGGTCGGTCGCTTGCCGTCATGCAAACGTCATTTTAGTGGCCGTCATGCTGCTGATGAGAGTTGCTCTTATCACGGAGATAGGCATCTCACGTTATGTGAGGGCAGCCAGCTTTCTCGCGAGCACGAGGAGACGCGCTGCTACTTGGCGTCCCCCTTCGCCAACATAAGCGTGGTCACGAATTATTCACATTGCAATTAGCTTCAGATGGCGAGGCAGTGTACGGGATGGTCGATCAATTTAGCTCACCTACCTCGACTTAGATCACGTTTTGGCCTGTGCAGACGTCTACATGCGCTTTGTTGGTTTCTCGAAACCAAAGTACCATACGCTGGATACCAACAGGTTTGCTAACCCCTTCACTCAACCGGTCTATCAATCCTTCTTATCAGATACGCTGGCTTGTGCTCCACCTACAGATGTCGAACATCGCTGGAATTGCTTGCAGAAAGCATCGCCTTCTTCCGGTCAATCATACTGTGGAATCGCTGGGCGTCCTCTGAGAGGCTGGATCTCTGCTCGCTCTTTGGAATTGTTTGACCGTCGCCGAGCTATCCCAACTGATTCAACTTGTCGTGGCGTCCGCCGCTGCCTCATCCAACAAATCAAGTGAAGCTTCGTAACGATCGTGAAACTTGGTCTCAGCGCGTTTCGGAGATGGAAACAGTCGCTCTCCGGAAAACTTTTGCGAGCTTTTCGAAATTATTTGTACTACTGGCCACAGAAGAACTGGCGTCAAAAAAGATATTCACGAAGTTGCTGGATCACCAACCACTAATTTGCGTAGGCGCATGGACCGCTGGGCTGATCACTTCCAGTCTCAGTTCAGTTGGCCTTTTCTTTCGGGTTGTTTAACAACAATACCTTGGAACCTTTCACTGGGAGCACGCACCGAAGCGAAGATCTGTCTTGAGCATCGTCGTTTGAAGGGATTCAAAGCTGCTGCTTCAGACGAACTTCCTTCAGAGCTATTCAAATACGGCAGTGAGGCAATTATCAACCAGTTACCAGCGCTGTTCTTCAAGATTTTGTGTGAAGAAAAGGTTCCGTCTTCTTTGGGCGAGTCAATTATCGTACCCATCTTCAAAACGATTGCTCATACATCATCATGCGCTAGCCACAGAAGAATCAGTAGTATCCATCGCCTCTAGATTGCTAACATCCAATCTACGCAGACTAACACTGATACGAGAACTACACTCCCTTGAGGAACAGCTTGGTTTCCGCCCCGGTGGAGGGTGTGTGGATCACATGTTTAGACCGCCAACTCATTGACCAACAATACCTTTATCTCTAACCTACCACTGTCGCTTTTTTGGATAACTGAGCTTCGTTCGACTGGGTCGATCGGCTTACTTTATGGTGTTTGCAAAAATGGGGTATTCGAGAATTATACCGCCACCTTTCGGGCCTTGTACGACAACGTCTCTGGCAGTATGAGAACTCTCACAGTAATCTTCCTTCACCTTTACTCGTCGTTAATGGTGGCATAGAGCTTCCAGGCAATCGCGCAACTAACTAGGACTCTACTGATGATAGTACTTTGGTCGGTGAGGACTTACAGATCATGCAGGTCGTTCTAAACTTCTTAGTGATTAACCTATCATGTATGGCGTGACTTTCATCCCATCGAATTGCAAGATCCTAATCCAACATTGGCATCCACCTGATCCTTGCTGATTGTTGAGGGCGCATAGCTTGAACATGTGAATAATTTCATCTACCTTGGGAGCTGCGTGTTTTTAGATGGCACCATTGGGAGAGAGATTTCTCTTCATATTGCTAAATCACAACCAGCTTTCGCTGATCTGTAGCGTCGTAGTGACGCTCCGT